TAGCCTCTCAAGCAGTTAGGAGCACAGGCACATGCCAACACGCCCAGCTAATCTTCTTTACTTTTGGTAGAGATGAGGCCTCACTATGTTGCCCAGGCTAGTCTCAAATTCCTGGGCTCAAGTAGTCCTCCCATCTCAGCCTCCCAAAGTACTGGGATCACAGGTGTAAGCCACTATGCCCAACCTGGTGTTTTTGATATTCTACAATATTGTGATTGACTGTTTCTCCTCCTCTTATTCCTGGATGCACAGTCATGCCACTAGTAACTGATTTCCCAACCTCCCTTGCAGCTACATATGGCCATATGACCAAGTCTGAGCCAACGGGAGCTGATTGTAAAACATCTAACATTTCCAAGTCATCTCTAACTTAAAGTCAAGTTGGTCCCTCTGAACTTTGCCTTTTCTCTTTGTTTTGTAAACTGAATCAAAGAAATGAGAAAGACTAGCTTCATTCATACAGAACAGGATGATGCCCAAGAAAATGGAAGAATAACAAACCAGAAGGAATTTAGTTATTGATTAACCCTACTAAGAAAAGTTGCTCCATCAAACTAGACAGGCTGAAGTGTTACATGAGAGAGAAATAAGTTCCCATAGTATTTAAGCCATTATACTTTTGCCTTATTTTTACTACAGCATTTTAGCCTTTACTCTAATAAATACTAGTAGCTAATTAGCACTTAAAGGCACTGGTATTTGCTAGAGTAAAGGCTAAGATGCCCTTAGCTAATTAGCACTTAAAGGCACTTATTAAGTCAGACTGAACCACTGGCAATCAGAATGATGTTTATCTTCCCCACCAAATATTTTGGTTCTGTGAATCCTATATAGCAAACACCTTAATCACAAGAAGAGACCATGAAAAATTCAAATACCTAAGAAAATGTAGGAGATCAAGTGAAACAGGCAAAGCCTAGGTTTATGAAGCTAATTTGATTCATTAAATGCACAACTTTGCCCAACACCCAGTCTTTGTATCACATTGGTATGCATGCCTTTCAAGCATCTCAACAAAGAACACAATTTTGTTAATGTTAAAAAGACAACTTTTATTTACTTTCTTGTACAAAATATAAATGAATTTAAGATGTTTGAGACAGAATTTTCAGGCCCGGCAGGGTGACTCATGCCTGTAATCCCAGGACTTTGGGAGGCCAAGGTGGGAGGATCACTTAAGCCCATGAGTTCGAGACCAGGCTGGGCAATATAGAAAGAAGAAGATAGGATTTTCAGGTGTCGAAAGTGGTAAATCATTGAGTGGCATCTGCTTACAAAAATAGTCAAGTACAAACTTGAATGCTTTCAATGTAGTAAATAATATATATATAATGTATACATATATAAACAAGTTTTTGTGTTTTTTTGTTGTTATTGTTGTTGTTTTGAGATGGAGTCTTGCTCTATCGCCCCGAGCTGCAGTGCAGTGGCACCATCTTGGCTCACTGCAACCTCCGCCTCCTGAGTTCAAGCAATTCTCCTGCCTCAGCCTCCCAAGTAGCTGGGATTACAGGCGTGTACCACCATGTCTGGCTAATTTTCGTATTTTTAGTAGAGACGGGGTTTCACCATGTTGGCCAGACTGGCCTTGAACTCCTGACCTCAGGTGATCCACCTGCCTCAGCCTCCCAGAGTGCTGGGATTACAGGTGTGAGCCACTGCGCCTGGCTTATAAACAAGTTTTGAGTTTTTCCATGTTTGACTGAGTACAATTGGACTTGTGCTTTATGCAGTACTCTTAAAATGTTGTTTCACAGGCGGGCGCGCGGTGGCTCAAGCCTGTAATCCCAGCACTTTAAGGGAGGCAGGCGGATCACTGCAGGTCAGAGATCGAGACCATCCTGGCTAACACGGTGAAACCCCGTCTCTACTAAAAATACAAAAAACCTAGCCAGGTGGTGGCAGGCGCCTGTAGTCCCAGCTACTCGGGAGGCTGAGAGCAGGAGAATGGCGTAAACCTGAGAGGCGAGGCTTGCAGTGAGCGAGATCCGGCCACTGCACTCCAGCCTGGGTAAGCAGAGCTGAACTCCGTCTCAAAAAAAAAAAAAAAAAAAAAAAAAAATGTTGTTTCACGTGCTGAATTCAGGCTTTTTTTCCCAGAATGGAAATCTCACCCTATCGCTCAAGGCTTTTTTTTTTTTTTTTTTTTTTTTGAGATGGAGTCTCACCCTATCGCTCAGGCTGGAGTGCAATGGTGTGATCTTGGCTCACTGCAACCTCCGCCTCCCCGGGTTCAAGCAATTCTCCTGCCTCAGCCTCTGAGTAGCTGGGATTGCAGGTACCTGACACCATGTCCAGCTAATTTTTGTATTTTTAGTAGAGACGGGGTTTCATTATGTTGGCCAGGCTGGTCTCCTGACCTTGTGATCTGCCTACCTCGGCCTTCCAAAGTGCTGGGATTACAGGCATGAGCCACCGCTCCTGGCCCAGACTTTCTTAATACATCTGAAAAAAACAACATTTCATGCTATCTATACTGCCTATTCCTAACACTATGTTTGACTTTGACACATTCAACCCTAGTACAAACTCAAAAATGTAATTGGCTACCTGTAAACATTCCAAAGCCTTGCACATAATAGATGCTCAATAAATAAATGTTAGAGACGGAAGAAACAAAAAAAAGAAAAAGAAAGAAGAATGGGATGGAAAGAGAGGAATCTGCTGGATGTCTCCTGCTTGCCCCTGCAAATCCACTGTCCATTCTCCTCTAAATCCTAAAAGGCTGGACAACATGGGCTGCCTGGACGGGCTACCTTACCCTCTGGCTTCTGACTGGGTTTGGCCAAGGGGATGCACCAGTAGCAGACCAGAGGTAGGGAGGAGATATTTATTTCCTTCAGGTCACTCACTGTAGCCTGCTGTATCCCTCAACAAACTAGACCCAAGGCCATTTCCAAACAGCTCTTCTGATTGGGGAAGGCACTTTCTTCTCTTCTATAGAGTGCTTTTACTGGATCCAAGGTACTGCACTCTCCTTTGCATTTTCTTTTCCTTTATCTTGTTCAGTCCTTTAGAAATACTTCCTTTAGGGCCAGGCACGGTGGCTCACACCATGTAATCCCAGCACTTTGGGAGGCCAAGGCAGGCAGATCACTTGAGGTCAGAAGTTCAAGACCAGCCCAGTCAACATGGTGAAACCCCGTCTCTACCAAAAAACACAAAAATTAGCTGGGCTTGGTGGTGCATGCCTGTAATCCCAGCTACTCGGGAGGCTGAGGCAGGAGAATCACTTGAACCCGGGAGGAGGAGGTTGCAGTGAGCTGAGATTGCACCACTGCACTCCAAGCCTGGGCAATAGAGTGAGACTCCATCAAAAAAAAAAAACACTCAATATTGATTGTTTAATACATGCACAAAGGAAAAATATCTATTGTGATATGATAATGTTCTCAAGGATTAATTATTCCTTTTCAAAGACCAGCTCTCATTCATTTGTCAATATGACTTTTTCTTTTTTGATGTACTTGAAGGTACTTTTTTTACACATAAAAGACTATTTGGGGGCTACTGTGGTGCTTTAAATTAATACTAATTTTACTAAAGTTACCAATTCACAAACTGAGGCTAAGTTCAATTTATAAACGTTATTATTTTATTCTTAATCTAGTGAATTTTAACACCCATTTTTAAAGTGTCCTTTTATCCATACTTGATGTCATTTACAAACCTAGTTAACTAAATGTCACGCAAATATTTTAAATTTAATACACTATTTTTCCTTAATGCCTCTAATAAGCAGAATTTACCCAAATGTTTAGAATAATATGAATCTAATAAAAATATAAATTCTGTGAATCTTAAGTTCTCTTTAACATTTCAATGTTTTTTGTAAACTTTTGTAAACTTATCTTTTAACTTAAACAAATTACAACTCTAAAATTGAAAACTCAATAACATTTTAAATTTTAATCATGAAGTATTAGTATATTAATACCAGACCCTCTAATAAGTTCAATTTTCTTAACTGTTACAAATATTTAAAATATTGTATTAGCCTGTTTTCACACCACTATAAAGAACTACCTGAGGCCATGCGTGGTGGCTCATGCCTGTAATCCCAACACTTTGGGAGACTGAGGCAAGCAGATCACAAGGTCAGGAGTTCAAGACCAGCCTGGCCAACATGGTGAAACCCTGTCTCTACTAAGAATACAAAAATTAGCTGGGCGTGGTGGTGGGCACCTATAGTCCCAGTTACTCGGCAGGCTGAAGCAGGAGAATCGCTTGAACCCAGGAGACGGAGGTTGCAGTGAGCCAAAATCACGCCACTGGCACTCCAGCCTGGGTGACAGAGCGAGACTCCGTCTAAAAAAAAAGAAAGAACTACCTGAGACTGGGTGATTTATAAAGGAAAGAGGTTATTGACTCACAGTTCTGCATGGCTGGGGAGGCCTCAGGAAACTTACAATCATGATGAAAGGTGAAGAGGAAGCAAGGTAGCTTACATGGCGACAGAAGACAGAGAGAACAAGGGGGTAGGTGGCACACTTTTAAACCATCAGATCTCTGCTGGACGTGGTGGCTCACGCCTGTGATCCCAGCAGTATGGGAGGCCAAGGCAGGTGAATCACTTGCGATCAGGAGTCTGAGACCAGCCTGGCCAACATGGTGAAACCACATCTCTACTAAATACAAAAATTAGCTAAGTGTGGTGGCAGGCACCTGTAATCCCAGCTACTTGGGAGGATGACGCAGGAAAATTGCTTGAACTTGGGAGGCAGAGGTTTCAATGAGCCAAGTTCACATCACTGCACTCCAGCCTCAGTGACAGAGTGAGATTCCATCTCAAAAAAATAAAAATAAACCATCAGATCTCATGAGAACTCACTCACTATCACAAGAACAGCATGGAGGAAACTTGCCCCATAATCCAATCACCTCCCACCTGGTCCCTTGTCCCTCCCTCAACACATGGGGATTACAATTTGAGATAAGACTTGGGTGAAGACAGAGCCAAATGGTATCAAATATGAAACAAACATAGATCTTTCCCAAAGTTAATGCCAAATAATTAATTTTATTGGTTGTTAATTCATTATTTCTACCTATAAGGGTCAAATGAGAGAGTTTTACCATTCAAGCAAATTGGGGTTATTAGCAGAAGCTAGTTGATTTAACCACACCAAATAAGCAGGGTTATCTGCTCAGTGGCTGATATTGAACCAGAAACTTTTGACAAAGACATTTCTGGAGCAGCCAACAACTAAGACACTTTTTCAGACACAGAGGCAACTTTCGTCCTGTTTTACAGTTACTTTGCAATTAGAGACCCTAACCCCATTCTTCTCCAAGTGGGGCTGTCTCATAGACCCCCATTCCCTGGGCGCAAACTATACATTATCTAATAATACTCAAGATTGGATTCAATTATCTACTGCTTGATTCTAGTCTTATTTTCATATTTTTCTTCTTGGTTATGAATACAACTCTCACAGATATCTTAAAGATACCCAATTCGGGCTGGGAGTGGTTACTCACGCCTGTAATCCCAACACTTTGAGAGGCCTAGGTGGGTGATCACCTGAGGTTGGGAGTTCAATACCAGGCTGACCAACATGGAGAAACCCTGCCTCTACCAAAAATACAAAATTAGCTGGGTGTGGTGGTTCATGCCTGTAATTCCAGCTACTCTAGAGGCTGAGGCAGGAGAATCGCTTTAACCTGGGAGGCGGAGGTTGGAGTGAGCCGAGATCGTGCCATTACACTCCAGCCTGGGCAACAAGAGCAAAACTCTGTCTCAAACAAACAAAGAAAAAAAGATATCCAATTCGGTCATGTATATCTTTCTTTGTTTTACATGCTAGTGACAGTAGTCTTTCACCTTTATGGCAACTCTTCTGCTTACTATATGATTGGGATGGCCTGGGTAAAGGATATGCTTTATAGATCTCTGGACTTAGTTCTTTAATGCTTCCCTCCCCTCTTTGGCCCTGCTTTTGAGTGGTGTGCCTTAGCTTGTGAAGGATTGATTGAGGATGACTTAGGTTGAGTGGGTCTAGGCTGAGAAGGCTTAGACTTGGGAGGCTGGGGCTGGCTTGGCTTAGGTTGAGTGGGCTCACATGGAGAAGGTTTAGTTTGGGAGGGCTGGGACTGACAGGATTTTTTCTGAGAGAGTTTAGGTTGAGAGGGCACAGAATGGAAGGGTTTAGACTGGGAGTGTTTGACTGTGGATGGGTTGGACTGATCGGATTTGAACTGAGAGCTCTTGGATATGGGATAGGACCCTATTTGGAGAGCTGGATTTGAAGCCCTAACCTGCATCTTCATCTGGGCTCCTTGCTGAGAAGCAGGTCTTAGTTTTTGTGTGGTTCCTGCTGGTTGAAAGGACTGAGGATGAGGCTTTCCAATATGGGATGTTCTTATCAGTTTTCCAGTTGCTTCAGTTAATTCTGTTCCCCTGGTACAAGCTTGCTGAGGCCATGGCTTCCTTACTGCTCTTGCGGGCTGTGAACCCAGGGAATAGGAGTGACCTACCTGGGAGACTACTGTCCCAGACCTTTCAAGAGTTCCCATCGTTTGTGGTCTCTCAGGGCAGGCCTGTACATGCTGACAAATGGGTCTTGGCGGTCTCCCAAATGTTCCATTCAAGTGACCTCCCCGAGCAACTCTGGAAAATTTCAAGAATCTTTCACCTGAATAAAATACCTGGGGATGGAATGATTGAATACCAAAACTTTTACCTTGGCCCCGGGCCCTTGCATTCTGAAAGGGCAAAGGACAGAACCACTTAGGTCTCTGCTCTGACCCACAGGGGTGGCCCATAACCCAGGGGGCTTTCAAGGAAACATGGTTAAAGTTACCTCCAATTCTGGTTGGAAAGGGCCAGGAGTTCTCTAGAAGAGGCCTGAATATTGGGGTACCATAGACTTTCTGAAGATTCTGGTTGAGCTCACATTGAGTTCCAGGCTCTTGTATTGGCATTAGAGCTTGGCTTTTAGATGAGCTTTTTAGCTGACTGCGTCTTTGCTGACCCTCATCTTCAGCTGTTCCAGCCATGTCTTCTCCTGAGGGAACTTGAATTCTCTGAGTGTTTTCAAAGTCTTCATCTACCTGAATCCCCAGCTCCCTGGCCAGGACGGCCATATCCTCCACAGACACACATCTGAGGGAAGAAGAGAACATCACTTCCTGGAGGGCAGCTTGAAGGCCCTCCATGTTCTTCCTTCTGTTCCCAGCATCTCCCCCTTCCCAAAACAGTAGCTGTGCTGGCTTCAAGTTCAGCATCCTCTGAAAAATTTGAGCCTCTTCACTCTCTCTGGCTTGGGGACTGAGAACAAAGTAGCATCTTTCAATGGCAGCTTCTCCTAAAAACATTAGCAAGTCCCATTCCTTCTCACCTAGACAGTCAGTGAAAAAAAACACAGCTGAAGAAACTTCCATCAAAAAACCAAACTGAGTCCAAAAGCTTTCTAGATTTCCACGGAGATTAGCCAGAGCAACAGGCTTTTGGAAAAAACAGGGGTTTTCCTTTCTATCATCGTTATCAGGAAAACACCACGTTATCTCAACCAGGCCATCAGAGATTTGCCGGGGAAGCACCAAAAGAGGCAAATCTTGATGAAGAAAGATTTTGTGTGATTTCAACTGGGCAGGGCTGAGAAGTGTGTTGAGGATTCTGGACTTAGAGAAGCTACAGTATCTTAGACGCACAAAAGAGATGACAGGCATCTTCATGAGAGTCAGAAACTTTTCTGTCTCCCCGGTAGGCCCTCCTGAAAACTGTGTGGACTGCTTCTTCACAATGTCCTTCATGGCCCCCAGCATTAAGATACTTTTGTTGTTTTCTGCATCTGGCAGTAGCAGGGGAAGAGCAAACTGGCACTGATACATGTTTGACATGACTTGGCGTTGCAAAGAACTATCTGAACACAGCATGGCGGCACAAAGGACATCAAGGGGATTAATGGTTTGTATGTCTCGAATTTCCAAATTCTCCACTCCAGGCAGCAAATCCTCCTTGCTATCTTCATCCAGAACCTTGTGCCTGAGGATTGAATCCCTAGCCGTCACATCTAGTGCCTGAACTTTCATCAGGAAATTCCAGGCTAAGTCTGCTGGACTCTCCGGGGTCCACTTACGTCCTCGATCTAAGGAGAATTGTGTAACAAAATCTGGCAGAATCTTTCTGCTTCTATCCATGTTCAAACATAACAGGATGTCTTTAAACAACTTTTTTCTTTCTGTAGGAGAGAAGATAATAGTGAATGCCATGTTCAGAATCTCAATTTCCCCCATCGACTTCTTTTTTTGAGACAGTCTCACTCTGTCATCTATGCTGGAATCCAGGGGCGTGATCATCATCCTGGGCTCAAGGGGTCCTACCATCTCAGCGTCCCAAGTAACTGAGACTGCAGTCACCTACCACCATGCCTGGCTACTTTTTATTTTTTTAATAGAGATGGGACCTTGCTATATCGCCCATGCTGATCTTGAACTCCTGGTCTCAAATGAACCTCCCGAAGTGCTGGGATTACAGGCATGAGTCACTGTGCTCAGCGTGACTTTTAAAATTAAACAAATAATCTGCATTATTTTTTGCTTTGAGACAGAGTTTGAAAGAAAACTGTCACCCAGGCTGGAGTGCAATGGAGCCATCTCAGCTCACTGCAACCTCCACCTCCTGGGTTCAAGCTATTCTTGTGTCTCAGCCTCCCGAGTAGCTGGGACTACAGGTGTGTGGCACCATGCCCAGCTAATTTTTGTATTTTTAGTAGAGATGGGATTTCACCATGTTGGCTAGGCTGGTCTTGAACTCCTAGCCTCAAGTGATTAGCCTGCCTCAGCCTCCCAAAGTGCTGGGATTATAGACATAAGCCCCTACACCTGGTCTAATCTACACTTTCATTGCAAAAAAACTGAAACAATATAAATAAAGTAGAAGTCTCCTTTCACCATTCTGGCAAGTCATCTTCATTTTTAGGGGAGATATCAATGTGGTACAGTATATTTGCTTCCCATCCTTTTTCTATGCAAGTACCTAAGTATGCATGCATATATAGAAATAAATAGTTTTACTTAGTAGATGCTATTTTTTTTTTTTTTTTTTTTTTTTTTTTTTTTTTTTTTTTTTTTTTTTTTGAGATGGAGTCTGGCTCTGTCACCCAGGCTAGAGTGCAGTGGCAAGATCTCAGCTCACTGCAACATCCACCTCTCAGGTTCAAGTAATTCTCCCAGCCTCAGCCTCCCGAGTAGCTGGGATTACAGACATGCGCCACCACACCCAGCTAATTTTTGAATTTTTGTAGAGATGGAGTTTCAACATGTTGGCCAGGCTGATCTCCAACTCCTAACCTCAAGTAATCCACCTGCCTCAGCCTCCCAAAATGCTGGGACTACAGGCGTGAGCCACCGTACCCAGCCCATGCTATTTTTTTTTTTTTTTTTTTGCATAAATGATATTATACGAAACAAATAATTCTTCAGCTTCTTTTCACTTAGTGGTATTACTTGCAAATTATTTCAAGTCAGCATACATACTGATCTACCTAACTCACTTTAGCTATTTCATGGTACTCCATGGTTTGGATGGATGTAACTATTTAACAATTGCCTATGGATGATCATTTAGTTTTTTATTTTTAAAAAAATGTGCTAACATTTACATGCAGCAATGCAAAAAATCTTGTTAAGGTTAAATTATATACATATATATATATATACATCTATGAGAAATACTCTAGGTTGATACTGGTTTTTTGTTGTTATTGTTGCTGTTGTTGTTGTCTTTTGAGACGGAGTCTCGCTCTGTCGCCAGGCTGGAGTGCAGTGGCTCAATCTTGGCTCACTGCAACTTCCACCTCTCAAGTTCAAGTGAATCTCCTGTCTCACCCTCCCAAGTAGCTGGGACTATAGTTGTCCGCCGTCACACCCAGCTAATTTTTTTTTTTTTTTTTTTTTTTTGTATTTTAGTAGAGACAGTTCACCATGTTGCCCAGGCTGGTCTCTAACTCCTAAACTCAGGCAATCCACCCGCCTCAGCCTCCCCAAGTGCTAGGATTACAGGCGGGAGCCACTGTGCCTGGCTTTTTCTTTTTTTTTTGAGACGGAGTCTTGCTCTGTCACCCAGGCTGGAGTGCAGTGGCATGATCTCAGCTCACTGAAACCTCCACCTCAGCCAGAGTGGCTCATGCCTACAATCCCAACATTTTGGGAGGCTGAGGCGGGCAGATTAGTTGAGCCCAAGCGTTGAGACCAGCCTGGGCAAAATGGTGAAACCCTGAACCACCTGGGTTCAAGCGATTCTCCTGCCTCAGCCTCCTGAGTAGCTGGGACCATTTACGGGTGCCACCACACCTGGCTAATTTTTTGTATTTTTAATAGAGATGAGGTTTCACTATGTTAGCTAGGATGGTCTCGATCTCCTGACCTCTTGATGCGCCTGCCTCGGCCTCCCAATGTCCTGGGATTACGGACATGAGTCACCGCACCTGGCCGATACTGATTCTTTCTTAAATTTATCTCTTGCTGAAGTTTACAGGAACTGAAGATTTTATTTCCTTCAAAGTTTTTCTCAGAGTTTACATGCTATACCTAATTTTTCCTGATCTCCCATTTTCCAAACTATCTTCTACCTTTTTTTTTTTTTTTTTTTTTTTTGAGACAGGGTCTTGTACTGTTACCTAGGCTGGAGTGCAGTGGTGCAATCTCACCTCACTGCAGTCTCAACTTCCTGGGCTCAGGTGATCCTCCTGCCTCAGCCTTCAGAGTAGCTGGGACCACAAGTGCACACCATCAACCCCACCTAACTTTTCATTTCTTTATTTTGTAGAGACAGGGTTTCACCATTTTGCCCAGGCTGGTCTCAGCTCCTGGGCTCAACTAATCTGCCCACCTCAGCCTCCCAAAATGTTGGGATTGTAGGCACGAGCCACTCTGGCTGGCCTACCTACTTCTTTTAAATACAGAGATAGTGCATAACAGAGAGAGAAGATCAGATTGGATTCCTACTCCTGACAAATGCCCAGCTAGTGTAAAAATGTAAAATTACCCTTAAAAATAGCCTTGAAGAAACAACAGAAGAGAAAAGCATGGATTTTAGGAATTAATAAAAGTAACTATAAGAAGCCTTTGAGTAGTCTCAAAGTTGCTTGAACTGGTATATGTGTTGGGGCAAAAAGGTGAGGGGGAAGTTGAATCTAGCATGAAGAGTTCACAGAGGAAGCAGTGAGAGAGTAGGTTGCAGGACAGCTTTTAAGTTCTGCTTTTTCCTGTCTCATACTTTCCCTTAGGAAAGCAATTCTCTACTTCTTCAGCCAGAAATTGGTACCCATGGCTGGGCGCAGTGGCTCACACCTATAATCCCAGCACTTTGGGAGGCTGAGGTGGACAGAACACTTGAGGTCAGGAGTTTGAGACCAGCCTGGCCAACATAGTGACAGCCCATCTCTATTAAAAATATGAAAATTAGCCAGGTGTGGTGGCAGGTGCCTGTAGTCCCAGCTACTCGGGAAGCTGAGGCAGGAGAATCACTTGAACCCAGGAGATGGAGGTTGCAGGGTTGCAGTGAGCTGAGATTGTACCCCTACACTCCAGCCTGTCATCTCAAAAAAAAGAAAGACATCAGTACCCACAGTATCCAAGCCAGGTGTGTCCACAAGGTAATAACAGTGTCACTATGGAGCAGATCAAAGCAACAGAGTAGATGTACACACAAAACAGAGATGTATCTAATTAAGCACAGAGCTAGGTGAAAAAAGTATCAGGAAACTAATCTGTTTTATAAATTAAAAATTCATAAAAATAACTCAGCTAAGGCAAAAAGAAATAAACAGAGATTTCAGCTGCCACCCATGGAAAAGGAGTCTAAATTTTTAATTTAAGTGTAGTCAGGTTAATTGGAGACAAAAACAGACCAAAATAATATTCAGACTCTTGGGAGAAATATAACAATCTAGAGTATGACCTATTATATACAATGGATAGAACACAATCCAAAGGTAACAGATATAGGAAGAAGTAGGAAATGTAACTCATACTCAATGGACACTGACTCCAAAATGACCCAGATGTTAGATTTGGCATATAAGAATTTTACAGTCAGGCACAGTGGCTCATGCCTGTAATTCCAAAACCATGGGAGGCTGAGGCAGGAGGAACATTTCAACCCAGAAATTCAAAACCAGCCTGGGCAACATTGTGAAAACCCTATCTCTACAAAAAAATACAAAATTAACCAGCCATGATTTTCTGTGCCTGTAGCCCTAGCTACCTGAGAGGCTGAGATGGGAGGATGGCTTGATCCTCAGCCTGGGAGGTTGAGGCTGCAGTGAGCCACACCACTGCACTGTAGACTGAGCAACAGAGCAAGACTCTGTCCCCCCCCCCAAAAAAAAAATGAAAATTAAGTCCACAATGAATGATTAAATAGGATTTCTCAGGAAAAAAAATAGAAACTACTTTTAAACAGGAAATTCTGGAATTAAAAATCACAATACACGAATTTGTTTAAAATCACTACTTGGGCTAACAACAAACTGGAGATGACAGAAGAAAGTAAATATCTAACCTGAAGAACAGAGAGAAAAAATATTAAAGAAAAATGAGCAGAGTCTCTGGAACCTGTAGAACAATACTTTTAAAACTCTAAAATTCAGGTACTTGAAGTCTCAGAAAGAGAGAAGAGAAAAAGTGAGAAAGAAAAAAATCTTGGTAAATAACAGCTGAAAAGTTTCCAAATTTCATTAAAAGTTTTTTTATAGATTCAGGAAACTCTGCAAACACTAAGAGAAAAAAAAATCACACCTAGATACATCAGAGTCAACTGCTCAAAAAAAAATTAAGAAAAAAATCTTGAAAACAACCAGAGATAAATGACATAGCACTTATAAAATGACTGAAGATTTGGCATCAGAAACAATGGAAGCTAGAAGACAGAGAAGGCTGGGCGCGGTGGCTCATGCCTGTAATCCCAGCACTTTGGGAGGCTGAGGCGGGTGGATCACGAAGTCAGGAGATCGAGACCATCCTGGCTAACACGGTGAAACCCCATCTCTACTAAAAAGTACAAAGAAGTAGCTGGGCATGGTGGCAGGCGCCTGTACTCCCAGCTACTTGGGAGGCTGAGGCAGGAGAATGGCGTGAACCCGGGAGGCAGAGCTTGCAGTGAGCCAAGATCGTGCCACCGCATTCCAGCCTGGGTGACAGAATGAGACTCCGTCTCAAAAAAAAAAAAAAAAAAAAAAAAAGAGAAATGGCATCCATAACATGTTAAAGGCAAACGTTGTAAAATCCTATATCCAGCAAAAGCAACCTTCTGGAATGAAGGCAAAACAAAAACATATTTCAATAAACAAAAACTAAGAGAATTTACCACCAGCAGACTTGTACTAAGAGAAATAATAAATAAATTTTTCAGGCTAAAGGAAAATAATATAAAATGAAAACCTGGATCTTCAGGAAAAAAGAAAGGCCACAGGGAAACGGAGACATATTGGTTCCACCCAATGGTTGAACCCAATTACAAGCTGGAGGGGGAAGAGAGTCAATTGATACTATCTATACAAGTTGACCTTCTATAGTGCAGAGCACACAAGGCAATAGTTTAAGCCTTTCTGAGACATTTTTTACATAAAATTTTGCATGACGAAAAGCATGAAGACCTCCCTTTGAGTTAGAACTTTTTTTTTCAGTTCTCAGCTGCACAGACAAATATTACTTGAGAAAGAAACAAAGAATAGCCACATGCCTCCAGTCAACTAGAGTGGATGGGCGGCCATTAGACTTACATTACAGATCATAACTACATTATTATTAAGACTTCTCTTGATCTGTTTTGCTAAAGATGTTTGATTGATTGTAATGTCCCCAATTAATGGCTTTCTGGTATCCATCGTCTTTGCTATCTCACTTTGCAAGAAGTAGAATTTGTTTTCCCCCAACCCTAAACCTGATTTGGCTTTGAGACTTGCTTTGGTCAACAGAATGTGGCAGAAGTAATGGTGTTATGGGTTCTTTGCTATCTTACTTTGCAAGAAGTAGAACTTGTTTTCCCCCAACCCTAAACCTGGGTTGGCTTTTAGACTTGCTTTGGTCAACAGAATGTGGCAGAAGTAATGGTGTCATGGGTTGAATTTTGTCCCCCTCAAAAAGATATGAAGTCCCCCAGTACTGCAGAATGTGGCGTACTTTTATAAACAGCATATATATCTTTACAGAGGTAATTAAGTTAAAATAAGGTCTTGGGGGTGGGGGGGCCTAAATCAATATAATTGGTGTCTTAATAAAAAAGAAAAATTTAGACACAGAGGCATGCACAGAGGATAGATGATGTGAAGAGACACAGGGAGAAAATGGTCATCTATAAGTCAAGGAATGCACGAAGCTACCAGGAGCTAGGCAAGAAGCCTGAGACAAATCCTTTCCTAGCACCTCCGGAGGGAGCATGACCCTGCTGATACCTTGACATTAGGCTTCTGGCCTTCTGAACTGTGAGACAATAAACTTTTGTTGTTCTAAAGCCAATCATTTGTGGTACTTTGTTACAGCAGCCCTAGGAAACTAATACAGATGGCATGATGATCGTTCTCAAGCTAAGACTCAAAAAGCCTTCACTACTTCTCTGTCTCCCTCCCTCCACCTTGCTCTCTCTCCCCTTCTCTCTCCTTTACCCTCGTCATAAGAATATATTTGGCCATGCGCAGTGGCTCATGCCCATAATTCCAGCACTTTGGGAGACCGAGATGGGCAGATCACCTGAGGTCAAGAGTTCAAGACCAGCCTGGCCAACATGGTGAAACCCCATCTCTACTAAATATACAAAAATTAGCCAGGCATGGTAGTGGGCACCTGTAATCCCTGCTACTCAGGAGGCTGAGACAGGAGAATCGCTTGAACCTGGTAGGCAGAGGTTGCAGTGAGCCAAGATCATGCCACTGCACTCCAGCCTGGGCAACAGAATGAGCCTCCATCTCAAAAAAAAAAAAAAATATATATATATATATATATATATACTCTGTATCTATTCTGAGAACAAGCCCAGAGTAGCCTGCTAGAAGATGAGAGACCAGCCTTCAACTACCTCATCACACATGCATGAGTGAACCCAGGGAAGACCAGAGAACTGCCTAGCCAACCACAGACATGTGAACAATAATAAACTCTCAGTGTTTGAAGTGACTGAATTTTGAGATGATTTGTTATGTAGCATTATTGAGGCCAAGAGTTCAAGACCAGCCTGGGCAGCCTGGTGAAATCCAGTCAGGACCTGATACAGAAAAAAATTTTTCATGAAAATAAAACAATATGTAAGAGACACACTGCAATATTAGAATGTTACCTATGGAAGAAAGTAAATGGGAAATGGAGAAAAAAACAGAATAGATAAACGGGATTTTTGCAGAATAATGACGACACTATGCAATGAATTAATTAATTAATTTAACCCTCTACGCCAACTAAAATAAATAAATAAAAATTAAGAATGGGGCCCCAAAATAATCATGTATTAAGAAGTTATTTGGGGGTGGGGTAAGAGGCGTGGGTGGAATTATGTCCCTCACAAAATTCGTATGTTGAAATCCTAACCCCCAGTACTTCAGAATGTGATGTTATTTGGAAATAGGGCCACTGCAGAGGTAATTAGTTTTAATAATGTTATTAGGGTGGGCCCTAATCCAGTATGACTCGTGTCTTTTATTTTGGCCAAAGGGATGCACACTCAGGGATCAGGCTATTTGAAGGTAAAGACATATCAGAGGGATGCTTGCACAAGCCAAAGAGTGTCAACGATTTCCAGCAAACCACCAGGAAAGCTAGGATCCTTCAGATCACATCCTTCAGAAGGAACCAACCCTTGTCCAGGCGCGGCAGCTCATGCCTGTAATCCCAGCATTTTGGGAGGCCAAGGTGGGTGGATTACTTGAGGTTAGGAGTTTGAGACCAGCCTGGCCAACATGGTGAAACCCCGTCTCTACTAAAACTACAAATATTAGCCAGGTGTGGTGGCACGCACCTGCAATCCCAGCTACTTGGGGAGCTGAGGCAGGTGAATCGCTTGAACCCGGGAGGCAGAGGGTACAGTGAGCAAGGTTGCACCATTGCACTCCAGCCTGGGTGACAGAGTCTCGCTCTGTCTCAAAAAAAAAAAAAAAAGAAGAAGGAATCAACCCTGTCAGTACTTTGATTTCAGATTTCTAGCCTCCACAAGAAATTTGTGTTTATTGTTTAAGCACCAATTTTGTCGTATTTTGTTACAGCATCCCTCACAAATGAATATAAGGTGTGATGAGGAAGAAATGACTCTCTTCCTACCCATAAGTGGATGACGAGTCCCCAAGATTTGAAATGAATGTGAGATGGTAGTTCATCCTCTACTCAGAACTTAGTGATGTTTATTTTCCCAGGCAATATCACTCCAATGAAACACTTCTCATTTTGAATTTTCATTAAGAAATATTCAGATTTGGCCAGGTGCAGTGCCTCACACCTGTAATCCCGGCATTTTGGGTGGCCAAGCTGGGCCGATCACTTGAGTCCAGGAGATCGAGACCAGCTTGAGCAACATGGCAAAATCTCATCTTTACAAAATACAAAATTAGCCAGGCATTGTGACGGGTACCTGTAATGCTAGCTACTCAGGAGGCTGAGGTGGGAGGATCACCTGAGCCTGGGAGTTAGAGGCTGTGGTGAGTCGTGATCGTGCCACTGCACTCCAGCCTGAGTGAGACTGTGTCTCAAAGACATTCTTTTTTAAATAAGAAAATATTCAGATTCAAGATACAAATATAATTCTCATCAAGATGGCATTATGTGGACTGGATCAAGCCAAGTAACAACATTTTGGGATCTTAGTCATTTACTGACTGTTTTCACTTAAATAGTCAAACTCATAATCCCCACATCTCTCTGGTCACAAAGGCACTAAAATAACCAAAGTGATTTAACCTGAGGAATAGGTTAGCCTGAAATTAATGATTAGCAACTCCTTGTACGTATTATGGGAAATTAATGATTGGCAGCTCCTTATACGAACTACAGAAATTTACAAACTGACAATCAATATTTACTTTTGTGTATGCTGTCCATCATTTCGTAGGTCCTGGGAGCTCCTTTAAGTCAACACCTACCTCAAGGAGATTCCAGATCAGAGAGGCACAAGGAATTTCTCGGTAGTTGATTTTCTGCTGACATCTGTGCCTTTGTCATCCTCCTATCCCCATTACGTCATGGCAAGCTTATTAACTTATTAAGTTGTTGCCTAACTAACTATGCAACGTATTTCCATACCTTCTATACTTTTCTCCTGTTCCTCCTCCAATGAAAGGTTGGTTTCTGATTCCTCATAACTTGGTTCTTCACCGGAGAACTCTGTGGTTTCTGAAATCTCAAAGTCCTCTTCATCATATCCAACGTGCTCTGGGTCATCATAAACCTCCTCTTCCACAGTGGCTTCTGCATCTTGAGGGAAGTCAACAGATCCTAGATATTCCTCTTTTCCTAAGTATAAAGAATCATCTAGTTCCTCATATCTCTGTCCATCCTTTATATATGTAACAGTTGCTGGAACTTCATATCCAACTTTCTCAACTGAATATGATAATGTGACTTCTGGCGTGTCATATTCCTTCTCATTCTTCCTGGCAGACAAAGCTGTTTCCCTATAACTAGTTTTCTTGTCCCTGAAAAACTCAGAGGTTTCCAAATCCAAGTGTTCCTTCTCACTGAAGAACACTGTGATCTCAGGGGTCTCAGGCTGTTTTATTCCAGGAGAAAAAGCATCTTCTGAATTCTTGCTTGCCTCCATAGATTGAGGAGGTACCATATTCTCATATTTTAAAACTTCTGCAAAGAAAAGAAAAATAATTATTTTTCCCAATTAAGAAAAAGAAACTGTATAATAGCTGGAGTTCCTGAGGCTTCAAAGCATCATTCCTCTTCTTTTTTTTTTTTTTTTTTGAGACAGAGTTTCGCTCTTGTTGCCCAGGCTGGAGTGCAATGGCACGATCTCGGCTCACTGCAACGTCCACCTCCTGGGTTTAGGTGATTCTCCTGCCTCAGTCTCCCAAGTAGCTGGGATTACAGGTATGCACCATCATGCCCAGCTAATTTTTGTATTTTTAGTAGAGACGGGGTTTCACTTTGTTGATCAGGCTGGTCTCAAACTCCTGACCTCAGGTGATCCACCTGTCCCGGCCTCCCAAAGTGCTGGGATTGCCCAGCTGCCTTTTATTTCACTGGAGGACAGAAATACCTAACACCTCCTATATAACTTGCATGTCAACATATCAACTTTCAGAACTTTCTTTTTTCCACTAAAAAATAAAAAATCAGATCACACCACTGTCTTGCTTAAAGTTTGAGTCCTTCCCAGCAACCTTTCAGGGTAAGTGAGTAAAACAAAAAATTTGAATCATATGAACAGTGTTTACTTGTGGACTTACTGTGACTCACAACAGACTCACGTCTCCTGGGGCCACTGCTAATGAAATCTGATCACAAATACTTTCTAATCAGTAAACAAATGGCTCTAATTTGGAACAGTGTGCTTTAGAAATAATAAAAAAAAGTTTCTCAGCATATAAATATTGTCCTAAATTAGGTATCATGAACATTCACCTTTTTAACTGAGCCTCTACCTCTAACATCCCTTAAAATAATTTTGAATGTTTTTTTAGATTCCTAGCAAAGGAGCTACACCTAGAGCTAGTAGTAATTTACAGAATTGCTAAGCAACTGGAAGAATTGCTTTTTCGTGCACTACTAGTTATCTTTGAACCATTTAAGAATTAGCACTGGAACTGCTCCGGAAAACAGCTGCTGCTGGCATTCTTACCACCAAAAAAATGAAACTACTGATCTGCCATCTATGTGTTAAACATTATTTTCCTTGTATTTTCAAAATGGCTATACTAAGTGAAAGATACAGCTTGTGGTCTTGGCACTGTAAATATCCACGAATTCACCTACTTGAAAAACAAACCCTGGATTGTGTTATTATTAACAGTATTTTCCTTCCAACTGTGAGAGTTCAGCATGTTACGGTCAGTATAATGAGCAGTTTACGTTAGCATTAAAACAACTGCAAGTTTTGAGTACAGTCTGAAAAACAAATTATCGATTCCGTAAACCAATAAGATGCTAAATTTCAGAAACTTTTTAAATTCCAGTTTTCCCTATTTCATATTTCAGTGAAAATTATCTCTGGAAAAAGACTAACAAAAATAAAAGGCAACAATTTTCTTTCTTTTTTTTCTTTCTTTTTCAGAAAGTCTGCCCACTCCCTCTCACCCCAGAAAGTGTACAAAGTCAACTTACCATGCCTTAAGCCGCAAATGGCAGCGGACTGTGGAAAAGTACTAAATAAACACTTGAGAAAATGCTGACAGGTCGCCTCTCCCTTTTTCTGTACCAAAATTAACAGCTTCCGACTCTTCTTCAGGAGATCTGTAACATTCTCCAGAGTCTCATACTCTTCCTCAGAAATCAGCCTCCGAGAAGTTAACGTGTCTAAGATAGAATCAGGATCATGTTGGAGGATTTCAAGCAACTTTTTTCGTTCTCTTTCTATGATCTCTGAGGGAGTACTCTCAGTAGCCATTGTTCCTGTTTCCTCTAAACCAGGAAATGGATTATGAAATCATCCTAATGAATAAGTAAAAGTTGAAAACAGAATGACAAAGAACAATTTTATTTGGCTAAGCTTTAATATGTCAATGATGCCTAGTGTTGGAGCGTGCAGATACAAGCACAGTGGGGCAACCCAGCTCAGAGCACTCTCTGATCCGGGGTCCTTGTGGATTATTTATCTGCTCTTTTGAAGGCTTGATAAATTCTCACCATGACTCAGACCCAGGGTCACCTCCTCCAAGAAGTCGCTCTTGAACTTCAGGTTGGACTAGGTATTCCCTGTTCATAGAACTATACTATGATGCCAAGATTGTAAATTATTAATTAATATTTGGTGGGCAATCTGGCAATATACAGCAATAAATAAATAAAGTTGAAGACAGATAAAAATAAAACTTCATATCCTTCAACACAGCAATTCCAGTTCTAGGAAATTATCTTAAGGAAATAATGAAGCAAATACCCAAAGATGTATGTACAAGAATCTGCATTATAACATTGTTTACAATAGTAGAAAATTGAAAATAACCAAAATTGAGGTTTAGGGAATAAATATTGACATGTCGACAGTGAAACACTAAAGAACTGTTAAAAAGGATAAAGTACATCTCTACATATTGACAAGTAATGATATCCATGATATATTGCTATGGAAACAGCAAGTTACAGATCTCATTTGTGTTTTTAAAAAGTTAATGTGTATATAGTATATGTATACAATATGTGTATACAGGTATACATTATATTTTAAAGAAGACAGTCAAGAGATATCCCAAACTTTAACACTGGTTATCTCTGAGAATATGATTACAGGGAAATTTATACTTCCACCTTAAACATTACTATTTAATATTTAATATTTTTGATTTTTTATTATATTTATTTTAAGAAAATTACCTGGTTGGTCTTTATTTACTCCTTCATAGTTCACAAGAACCTGAAAGCGATCTGCTCTGCATAACTAGCAACAGGATACTGGATGAATAAACTGTGATATTTCTTATAATATTACATGGCATTCAAAAAGAATGAACTTCAGTGACCCACAATATAGAGAAATCATAATAATAGTAAGGAAAAACTGTAAATCCCAAAGGATTATATATAATATGACACCTTTTCTAAAAGTTCAAAATAAACACACACTTACATTTAAGGGTACACATGAAGTCATTAAAATTTTACAACACAAAAATCAAAGAATGATGAATATGAAATTCAGAATGATGGTTATCTCACATAAGGGGAAGCTTGGGGATGGGATGGGATTGAGGAGGAGATCATGGATCTCCTACAATGTAGGAGTTGGGCTTATCAGGGCTACTATATTGTTAAAGGTAAAGAGCTAATATGTAAATAAAAGCAGAACATGCATGCACCAATGCTATTAGGAACCAAGGATAATGAGTAATCCAATTCTGGTATCTCCAAGGTTAAAACAGTATTTTAAAATCCTGGCTGGACGAGGTGGCTCATGCCTGTAATCCCAGCACTTTGGGAGTCTGAGGAAGATCACTTGAGACCAGGAGTTTGAGACCAACCTGAGCAACACAGCAAGACCCTGTCTCTACAAAATATGTAAAAATTATCTGGTCGTGGTTGTGCACATCTGTAGTCCCAGCTGCTCGGGATGGGAGTCTGAGGCAGGAGAGCTGCTTTGGCCCAGAAGTTCGAGGTTGTAGTAAGTAACTCTAGCCTAGACTCTTAAAAAAAAAAAAAAGTCCTCATATGATATTTAAAATTAATATTAGGTAAGAGTTTTATAAAATTGAAGAGTTTTAAAATTTTTATTTATTTTGACCAATTATAATCATATATAATTATGGGATATTCAGTAACTTTATATGTATGCAGTGTGGAATGATTCACTGAAATTAACATATACATCACCTTCAATACCTATAATTTATTCCTTCTGTCTATGACTTTGTATCCTTTGACCAGCACCCTTCCCTTCCCCGCAACTCCCAGCCTCCCTCTGGTAACCACCATCATACTCTAGGTAAGAGTTCTTAAATATGTATTTCAAAAGTATGGCTTTCAAGTGATGCATCCCACCTCAGGCCCACAATTTGATTGACACTGTCATAAAGATTGCCAATTTTTTGTTGTTGTTGTTCAACTTGATCAGGAAGGTACTTTAATAACAGGTCTCTCAAACCACCAGTCTCCTCTCCAATGCTCCACCTTAAGTATGCTCCTTTCTCACAATAACCTGAGATTTCAAAGCCGATGGGAAAAAAGTGTTCACTTGAAGTGGAAAACTTAGCATTGAAATTTAAACTTCCTTCTAGAAGTTTTTGTTTTGTTTTGTTTTGAAACAGAGTCTCACTCTGTTGCCCTGACTGGAGTGCAATGGTGCAATCATAGCTCACAGCAGCCTCAAACTCCTAGACTCAAGCAATCCTCCCACCTCAGCCTCCTGAGTAGCTGGGAATACAGGCCTGGGCCAATCTGTTCAGCTTTTTTAAAAAAAAAAAATTTTTTTTTGTAGAGACAGGGTTTCACTACATTGTCCAGGCTGGTCTCTAACTCCTGGGTTTAAGCAATCTTCCCATCTTAGCCTCCCAAAGTGCTAGGATTACAGGCGTAAACCATATTTTTTTTTATTATTTGTAGAGATGGGGTCTCCCTAAGTTGCCCAGGCTGTCCTGAGCTCAAGTGATCCTCCAACCTTGGCCTCCAAGAGTGCTGGGATTACAAGTGTGAGCCACCATGCCAGGCTGTCTAGTTTAAATTGTTTTCTGACGGCCTGGTATGGTGGCTCACATCTGTAATCCCAGCACTTTGGGAGGCCGAGGCAGGCAGATCACCTGAGGTACGGAGTTCAAGACCAGTCTGACCAACATGGAAAAACTCCATCTCTAATAAAAATACAAAATTAGCCAGGCATGGTGGCACATGCCTGTAATCCCAGCTACTTGGGAGGCTGAGGCAGGAGAATCGCTTGAACCCGGGAGGTGGAGGTCGTGGTGAGCTGAGATCGCACCATTGCACTCCAGCCTGGGCAACAAGAGCAAAACTCCGTCTCAAAAAAAAAAAAAAAAAATTGTTTCTTGATAACAGAAATTTGCGTAGTACAGCCTTAGAATGCAAAGGAAGTGAGTTGGGGGAAGGGTGAGTGTAACCAGGATGTTCTTTATTACATAAAATATAGCCAGGAGGTACAAAATTGAAAGTATAGACCTCAAATCGGAATGAATAACACAGGACTAAAAGTCTTAAATGTGCTCTATTTTATTATTGTTGTTTTGTTTTTTGTTTTTTTTGCTAGGCTAGTCTTGAACTCCCGACTTCAGGTGATCTGCCTGCCTCAACCTCCCAAAGTGCTGGGATTACAGGCATGAGCCACTGCACCTGGCCTTATTATTAGTTGTTAATCTTACTGTGCTAATTCATAAATTAAACTTTATCATAGATATGAATGTATAGAAAATTCTCCCTTGAATTGCTGCTAACGAATTTAGGTGATGTTTTCAAGACAAAAGTCAACAGTAGTTTCATGTATTGTAGAAATAAAAAGAGGCAGGTCTCAGTGCTGAGTCCTGGTGGTCAAGAGACTTGATTGTATCAGAACCATGGATGCAGGACTTAATGTAGTTTCTGTCACTGCCAAAAAGCAAAACGTCAGCGGGTGAATGCCTGGGCTAACATCCTTAGATCAACCATTTCAGACATTGATCTAGTCCTGGCTGGGCATGGTGGCTCACACCTGTCATCCCAGAACTTTGGGAGACTGAGTAGGGGCTGATCACTGGAGGTCAGGAGTTCGAGACCAGCCTGGCCAACATGGTGAAACCCCTTCTCTAATAAAAATACAAAATATTAGCCCGGTGTGGTGGCGTGTGCCTGTAGTCCCAGCTACTTGGGAGGGCTGAGGCACAAGAATTGCTTGAACCCGGGAGGGCAGAGGTTGCAGTGAGTCGAGATGGCACCACTGCACTCCAGCCCAGGTGACACAGTGAGATCCTGTCGCAAAAAAAAAAAAAAAAAAAAAAAAAAGGTTGCTATAGTCTCTAGTCCTGACTTAAACCTAGCAATTGTATAGAAAGTTGGAGGGTCTGACTAACCTTCATAGACCTCTAGAAAGCCAAGAGTTTGCTTGACCAGGGCAAAATTTACATGATTTGACATACACCAAAAAGAACCACCCCACACTAGAGAGGAAGAAAAATAATTCTCTCTCCTGTCTTCAATTCTGGGAATGTCTGGAGTAAAGAGACTGACATAATGCCTGTCACACTGCTTGGTTCCTTAATGGCTGACACCTGTCCTACCCTTTCTACACTGACCTCATTTCTCATAGCCCCTGTGGTAGGCAGAATAATGGCTGTCTCCAAAGATAACAAGGTACTAATCCCCTCAACCTGTGAATAAATTAGATTATGTGGCAAAGGACAATTAAAATTGCAGAGGGAATTAAGGTTGCTAATTAGCCAAACTGGAGATAAGGAAGTTATCTGGGTGGAGTCAATGTAATCACAAGGGGCCTTAAAAGTAGGAGAGGGGTGGCAGGGCACCCAAGCCCTTTGGGAGACCAAGACAGGAAGGTTCAGGAGTTCAAGACCAGCCTGGACAACATAGTGAGATCTTGTCTCTACTACAAAAAATAAAAAGAAAAAGAAAAGAATAAGAATAAGAGGGATGCAGAATAAACAGTAATGCATTTGAGAAAGCCTACAGTAGTCTCCACTTATCCAAGGTTTCCCTTTGCAGGATTTCAGGGTTTGTTACCCCATGGTCAACCATGGTTTAAAAACAGGTGAGTACAGGACAATAAGGTATTTCCAGAAAAAGAGACCGACCACACTCACATAACTTTTATTACAGTATACTGTTATGATTGCTCTATTAGTTGTTAATCTTTTATGGTGCCTAATTCATAAATCTAACTTCATGACAGGTACACATGTACCGAAAAAACAGTATATATAGGGTTTGGTATTGTGGTTTCAGGCATCCACTGAGGGTGGTGGAACTTAAACCCCACAGAAACAGGGGGGAAACTATAGTATCACAGCTTTTGAAGATGCAAGGGAGCAATAAACCAGAGTTTGGGCAGTCTCTAGAAGCTGAGAAAGGAAACAGATTCTCCCTCCTAGAACCTCCAAGAAAGAAAAGCAGCTCCGGTAACATTTTATTTTTAGTTTTCTTTTTTCTTTTTTTTTGAGACAGTCTCAGTCACCTAAGCTGGAGTGCAATGGCGTCATCTCAGCTCACTGCGACCTCCACCTCCACCCTCTGAGTAGCTGGGATGGCAGGCGCGCGCCACCACGCCTGGCTAATTTTTTGTAGAGACAGGGTCTCCTTATGTCGCTCAGGCTGGTCTCCAACGCCTGGGCTGAAGAGATCCGCCCGCCTCAGCCTCCCAAAGTGCTGGGATTACAGGCGTTAAGCCACGGGGCCAGGCCCCTGGAAACCATTGAACAAGTTCCATGTGTGATTTCTCGGCACAATGAAATATGGGATCAGATAACTTGCCTCTGATTTACTACAGTAACGACAACAATAACAAAAATCACTATTTGCCTTTCCTTTTACATCCTAAGCTCCAGCTCCAGGCCTCCGTACTCCTCGCGACCTCTCACAGGGAGAGTCAGCGTCGGCCAAGAGCTTCCGGGATCGGAATGAGGCGGCGGCTGGAGAAGTTGCTTTCTCCTGAATAGGGCTGATCCCAGACGCACACGGTCATTACACGCCGGGGACGCTCAGTCGGTGCGTGTACCCCCAGGCAGGGCCAGCCACGCATTCCAGGTTCTCCATGTGCCCAGACGACAGTAATCCACGGTATGGCAACAGATCTG